TGGACAGCAGTCCTGGGTTGCTGCCACTGGGAGGGCTCCCAGCCAGGGCCGATGCCTGTAAAACCGACTCAGGAGACCATCCTTCAGTGTGTGGGGAGGACAGCAGGAGGTCACTGCAGAACAGCCGTGTGTCACTGGCCAGTGCGCTGGCCGCATGGAAGACAAGTGCACTGACGTCAGTCACAGGAGATCGTGCAGACAGGCACACAGACAACACACATGTGTACTTGCACATACCCCCGTATAACATGCCCATGTGTATACATCTCACACAGACACCTGCTTATACCATGAGCATGTGTGTATGTCTCACATGCAACCCGTGTATGCCACACCCATGTGTATACGTCTCACATGCACACCTGCATATACAACACATGTGTGTACATCTCACATGCACACCTGCATATACCACATGCAACCCATGTATACCACATGCATGTGTGTATGTCTCACACACCTGCATACATCCGAGTGCACACCTGCAATTATCACATGTAAGTATATCGGTGCACATCAGGCCCTCCCTCCTCACCCCCCACCTTCAGGCCCCTTGGGCCCTGGTCACCTCAGCACTTGGCCCTGTCCTCCTGGATGCTTCATCTCTACTGGGTGTGGGAGTCTCAGAGTCTCTCGTCAGTGGCCTGTGTGTGCTGTCATGTCTGCTCTTGGTGACCCTTCTAGAACCTTTCTGCACCAGAGCTGACTCACACTTCACCAGGACCCTGCCCCGCCCCATAATCCAGCCCACAATGCCCACTTTGGGGTCCGATTTTCCCCTCCTTACTTGGTCTGTCTTCCCAAGGAGCGACATTTCAGCCTCTACATAGATCAATGTGAATGAGCTCATGCCTCAGTCACGGCTTTCCGGCAAATGACACAGGGCCAGGGTCCCTGAGAATGAGCTGTGCAAAGTCTCCTGGCCATCCATCACTCGGGATGGTGCATCCCCTCCAGCGCTGACACCGCTAATAAGGCCCAAGAGAACACTGCCAGCTGCAGACATCAGCGGTGGTAGGGACCCCTGCCTGTCGCCTGGTGGGTGCCCTGAGCCCCTACTCACCCAGGACCTTGCAGAGGGCAGGGTGGGGGTCCTGCCTGCAGGTTCCCCCAAGCAGCCCAGGGGAAGGTGGCAGGAGGTCAAGAGGGGAGGCCAGGTGGGCCAAGGTGAATGTGCCTTGAGCTGGGTGGGAGGCCAATGGGAGGACAGGAGCAGACGGACTGGAGGGGAGTGGCATGCTGGAGGCATGCTGCAGTCAGTAGCTGGGCCTTTCATGAAGGGGATGTCCCCTGGGCTTAGCTAGCACTGGGGTTTGACCTTCCACCTCTGGGAGCTTCAGTGCTTGGGAGTGGGTGGACGGGCAGGCTGAAGGAAGCCAAGAGTCGCCCTGATGGTCAGCACCCCACAGCCCCTGTGGCCCTCCTGCCATCCCCCTGATGGACACAGGGCCCCAAAGATGCTTATGTCCCTGTCCCTGGGACATGTGAGTTCACCTAGCAAAGGGCACATTCACCCCGGCCCACCCAGCCTCCCCTCCCGGCCTCCCCACTTGCTTGAAGCTGTGGACAGGAGGAAGGGTGACCAGCATACCCTCAAATGGGAAAGTGGCTCTGGACAACCCATGTGGGTGCAGTGACATCCCTTGTCCTCACAAGGGGAGAGGGAGGCCAGAGGCAGAGACAGGACCAGAGAAGGACAAGCGCCCCCGAGGCTCAACCTCTGAAGAAACCTGGATGTTAGATAAGTCCGCAAGGCTGCATCGCCTTTGGCATCCAGACACAGAAGTGTGTGTAGTCACGCACATGGGGCGTGGCTCCCCATCTGCCCTCTTCCCCAGATCTCCGTGCTGCACCAGGGCCCGGCTTCACAAGGAAGAAAGAGGTTATCGCAGATGGAAACTGGAATAGGGTGCCCTGGTCTCATGGGCCAAGTGAAGTCTGGGGCCTCTCCTTCCCTGTCCTCTCCCTCCTGCCTGTCCCCTGCTTCTAGCCTTTACTGGGGGGTGGGCATCCTTTCATGCTCACACGTGATGCCTCATGAGAGCTGAACACCAAAACCTGGGCTGCGTCGGGGTGGAAGGAAGTGAAGGGTGCAGAAGAGGAAGGGTCCTTTGGCAGAAGGTGGGGGGCTCTATGGGGACCCACTGTGTCTGGGGCAGCACTGTGGCTGGCTAGCACTGAGCAGGGCCCTGGCCCAGCTTCCACCCCTTGCCCCTGTCAGCATCTTCCTCCTGCCTGGGCCTCCCCTCCCTCTGAGAGTCCCAAGATGTGGCAGGCCCCTGGGGCAGGGGCTGAGGACGACCAGGGCCCCAGTCGACAATCTGCTG